TATGTTGGTGCATGCCTGTAATCCCAGCTACTCAGAGGCCAAGGCAGCAGAATCACTTGAACCTGAGAGGCAGAGGTCGCAGTGAGCCAAGATCATGCGACCACACTTCAGCCTGGGCAACAGAGTGAGACTCCATCTCAAAAAAAAAAAAAAAAGCTACATACCTCCCACCCAGTTTCTCTGCTACAAAATTCTTGTGAGTACCAAAAACTTTACTAAACTGAAGTCATCCTTCTGCTCATCTGAGACTAATGCATATCTGATGCTTCCTGTGCTGGAAAATGCAGATTCCCTGAGCTAGGCAAAGGCATAAGTGACAGATGGCCAGGGGTGGTGGCTCATGCCTGAAATCCCAGCACTTTGGGAGGCCAAAGCTGGTGGATCACCTGAGATCATGAGTTCAAGACAAGCCTGACCAACATGGTGAAGCCCTTCTCAAATTATTATTACTGTTGAAAGGGCGTCTCACCTAGGCTGGAGCATAGTGGTGCAATCTCTGCTCACTGCAACTTCCACCTCCCAAGTTCAAGTGATTCTCCTGCCACAGCCTCCCAAGTAGGTTGGATTACAAATGTGTGCCACCTTGCCTGTTTCTTCTCTTCCTCCTCCACCACCTCCTCTTTCTCCTCCTCCTCAGTGCTGGGATGGCAGGCGTGAGCCACTGTGCCTGGCTCCTGGCTGTTTCTCCTCCTCCTCATTGCTAGGATTACAGGCATGAACCACCACACCTTGCTGTTTCTTCTTCTCTCCTTTTCCTCCTCCTTCTCCGCCTTCCCCCCTCCTCCTCCCCTCCCCCTCCTCATCCTCCCCTTTCTCCTCCTCATCCTCCTCCATTGCTGGGGTTACAGACATGAGCCATCACCCCCGGCTGTTTCTTCTTCTTCTCCTCCTCCTCTGGCTGTTTTTTCTTCTCCTCCTGCTCCCCTTCCCCTCCTCCTCCTCCATTGCTGGGATTACAGGCATGAGCCATCGCCCCTGGCTGTTTCTTCTTCTTCTTCTTCTCCTCCTCCTCTGGCTGTTTTTTCTTCTCCTCCTGCTCCCCTCTCCCTCCTCTTCCCCTCCTCCTCCTCCATTGCTGGGATTACAGGCATGAGCCATCACCCCCGGCTGTTTCTTCTTCTTCTTCTCCTCCTCCTTTGGCTGTTTTTTCTTCTCTTCCTGCTCCCCTCTCCCTCCTCTTCCCCTCCTCCTTCTCCATTGCTGGGATTACAGGCATGAGCCATCACCCTGGGCTGTTTCTTCTTCTCCTCCTCCTCTGGCTGTTTTTTCTTCTCCTCCTCCCCCTTTCCTCTTTCCTTTTTCCTCATCCTTTTTCATTTTATTTATTCTTTTGAGATGGAATCTTGCTCTTGTCACCAAGGCTGTAGTGCAATGATGTGATTTTGGCTCACTGCAACCTTTGTTTCCCAGGTTCAAGCAATTCTCCTGCCTCAGCCTCCTGAGTAGCTAGGATTACAGGCACCCAGCACCATGCCTAGCTAGTTTTTATATTTTTAGTAGAGACAGAGTTTGCCATCACAGCTCACTGCAGCCTCCCACTGCTGGGCTCAAGCAATCCTCCTGCCTCAGCCTTCCAAGTAGCTGGGACTATAAGAACACACCACCACAACCAGCTAGTTTTTGTTTGTTTGTTTTTTTATACAGAGTCTTGCTCTGTCCCCCAGGCTGGAGTACAGTAGTGCTATCTGACCTCACTGCAAACTCCATTTTCCAGGTTCAAGTGATTCTCCTGCCTCAGCCTCCAGAGTAGCTGGGATTACAAGCCTACCACCATGTCTAGCTAATCTTTTTATTTTCATTAGAGATGGAGTTCCACCATTGTGGCCAGGCTTGACTCAAACTCCTGGCCTCAAGGGATCCACCTGACTCAGCCTCTCACAGTACTGGGATTACAGGTGTGAGGCACCACACCTGACTTGGCTTTTTTATTTTTTATTTTTTTTTTTGAGACAGAGTCTTGCTCTGTTGCCTAGACTGGGTGCAGTGGTGCAATCTCGGCTCACTGCAACCTCCGCCTCCTGGGTTCAAGCGATTCTCTTTTCTCCTGATTAGCTGCAATTACAGGTATTTGCCACCACGCCTGGCTAATTTTTGTATTTTTAGTAGAGACAGGGTTTCACCTTGACCTCTGATCCTGTGATCTTGTGATTCACCTGTGTTGGCCTCCCAAAGTGCTAACATTACAGGCATGAGCCATGACACCTGGTCATTCTAAAGTTTTTAAATAAACTTTTTATTTTTCATTTTTTGAAATGGCATCTCACTCTATTGTCCAGGCTGGAGTGTAGTGGTGCGATCTTGACTCAGTGCAACCTCCACCTCCAGGGTTCAAGTGACTCTCCTGCCTCAGGCTCCTGAATAGCCGGGATTACAGGTGCCCACCACCATGCCAGCTAATTTTTGTATTTTCAGTAGAGATGGGGTTTCTCCATGTTGGTCAGGTTGGTCTCAAACTTCTGACCTCAAGTGATCTGCCCACCTCGGTATCCCTAAGTGCTGGATTGCAGGCTTGAGCCATTGAGCCTGGCCTTTTTTTTTTTTTTTTTTTTGAGATGAGTCTTGCCATATTGGAGTGCAGTGTTGTGATCTCAGCTCACTGCAACCTCTGCCTCCCAAGTTCAAGTGATTCTCCAGCCCCAGCCTCAGCCTCCCTAGTAGCTGGGATTACAGGTGCCTGCCACCATGCCCAGCTAACTTTTGTATTTTTGGTAGAAGCTAACAGGTTTCACCATGTTGGCCAGGCCGGTCTCAAACTCCTGACCTCAAGTGATCGGCCCACCTCGGCCTCCCAAAGTGCTGGGATTACAGGCTTTAGCCACTTTGACCAGCCCCTCTCCCTGCATCTTTATGTGCCTGTAAGACCAAGAGGTTGCTCCTGACCCCTGGGTTAGGGTGGCGGCCCCAGAGGCCCAGGGGTCAAGGCTTGGGCTGCATCCCAAGGACCTGCATCCCTGCAAGAGGCTGCACCGGGCAGGTTTGGAAGAGGCCCCTCTGGAGCCTGCTTGGAGTCCTGCTGGGGAAAGTGAGTGGAGGTGCTTCTTGAAGAAACAGGGGAACTTTGGGAGGATGAGGCAGGCGGATCACAAGGTCAGGAAATCAGAATCATCCTGTGTAACACGGTGAAACCCCATCTGTACTAAAAATACAAAAAAGCCCAGCGTGGTGGCGGGCGCCTGTAGTCCCAGCTACTTGGGAGGCTGAGGCAGGAGAATCGCTTGAACCCGGGAGGCCGAGGTTGCAGTGAGTCTGCGCCACTGCACTTCAGCCTGGGTGAGAGAGCGAGACTCCATCTCAGAAAGAAGAAAAACAGAGGAATCCCACATGTCTCAGGGGTTCTGTCCTGGCCTGCCCCTGGATCGTCCAGCTTGGGCCGGGGTGGGGAACGGACCTCGCCCTTCTTGGCTGGGGAGGACGGTCCTGCTTCCCCAGAGGCCTAGCCCAGGGTTCTCAGCTGCCTGCCTCACTGGGAAGCGCCTAGCCCCACCCAGCCTCTCTAGGACTGGCACTCGCCCTCAACCAACATGGCTCTGACGGCTTCAGCACGTCACGCCACCCGTCCGCCAGGCTCCTCCCTCACTGCTCTTAGCCCTGCCCCTGAGCAGCAGAGACGGAAGTGTGGCCTGGGAGCAGACGGTGGTGTGGGCGGCACTCAGGCCGCTGTTGTGAGGCTGCGCACGGGTGCTTCCAGGCGGGATGCCGTACCCGCGGGCGGGCGCTTCCAGGCGGGATGCCGTACCCGCGGGCGGGCGCTTCCAGGCGGGATGCCGTACCCCCGGGAGACCCCGTCGCTGGAGCACAAGTCGCTGGACAGCCTCGGGAGCTTCCACGCCGACTTCCCCGACCACAGGCGCCAGGACTTCAGGAGCAGTGGTAGCCGCAGCTGCTGCGGAGGTGAGGGGTCGGGGCAGAGCCGGGAGGTGCCCGGAAGCCTGGCGAAGGGAGTGGGGGAGTCCAGGCCCCCTGCAGGCTCCTTCCTCTGGGCGCCCCGGAGTTGGGGGCCTGGAGGAGGTGTTAAAGGTCAACCGGCTTGGGGGCATGGGTTTGGGGGACAAGGAGACCTGGGAGGGCTGGGGCAGAGTAGGCAGGAGGGGGAGGAAGCGCCCCTGCCGAGCCCCCTTTGGAGGCAAAATCTGAGTTCAGGCAGTGTCCTTTTTATTCTTTGTTTTTAATATTTAATAATTTTTTTGAGACTATATTTAGCACTGTCGCCCGGCTGAAGTGCAGTGGCTCAGTCCTATCTTCAGAGTCCAAGCTATCTTCTAGCAAGCTTTGCAAGTTAGCTGGGTCCCGCATGCCTGGCTAATTAAAAACAAACCACACACACACACACCCCCCCACCCCCACCCCCCCCCCCTTCCTCGTTTTTTTTTTTTTTTTTTAATATAGGGTCTCACTACCTTGCCCAGGCTGGTCCCGAACTCTGGGCCTCAAGCCATCCTCTTATTTCTTACATTGATCTCCCAAAGCACTGATTACAGGTATGAGCCACTCAAACATTCAGCTGACCAGAGCGGCATGCACTGCACAGAGCTGGGTTGGGGGATCCGAGAGGAGGAGACAGTTTAGTCATCCTGAGGTCAGCTCTACTGAGGCAGGAGAGTACCTTGGTTTCCAAGGTTCAGATAGAGGACGGGATGTGATATCAGGTCAAGGACGCCAACCCTGTTCCCCTCCTGACTTGGATGTGGTCAGAAGAGATGTGGGGCTGATGTCTGGGCCACTTTTGCCTTCTCTTCATCCTCTTTTTCTAACTTTGTGGCATTCAGTATAGGAGGAAGAAAGGAGAGGGCTGGGTGCCAGCAGAGCCCCACTCACAGTGTGCTAAGCAAAGCCCCCCCATCCCCCAACCAGCCTTCCTCCCTGACAGGCAGTGGGTCATCTGCCTCTTAGTCATGGGTCTGAACCTTCTTGCCTGGGTCTGGGATGTGGCCCTGGGCTCACCCCTGTCTCCGGAGATACTGGGCCCCATCCACTCCGAGGAGGAATTCCTGGCCCCACTGGCCCAGGTGCACAAACCACCCTGGCAGTTGACCTGTCACCTGCAAATTATCTGTATGTTCCGCCAAGAGTCCTCTATGTATCAGGGCTTCTACTAGGCTTGGGGACACAACTGAGAAGCACGCTGTTTTTGGATCCCTTTGGGGGCCTAGAAGCTGAGCCCAGGCCTTCTCTGTGCAGACGGGCCCCACCCTGGGCATGCTGGTTCCCTTCAGCTTCAACGACATTGACTGGGACTGGCGACTGTGGCATTCTGTCAGCTGGGTGTGGTGTGAACTGGAGGTGGCCCTGCTGGAGTGGTGGACCCAGGACCTGCACACAAGAGGGGTGCTGAGGATTGGCAGTGCCCACTCCTATGCCATCCTGGTCAGTGCAGCCAGGAGCAGGTAGGGCAGGTGGGTGGGCATTGTTGCTGAACAACATGGGACCTCCGGTTGCCAGCCACAGCTTGTCTCCTGGGGTGGGACGGTGGGGGCCTTGCTCTGCCCTGTCCTGGGGGCTGTGCCCTGTGTAGAGGGATAGGTGGTCTGATCTACCCCTTTGGGAGGCCATTCTTCCCATGTGGCTGGCAGGCCTCTGAGCCCCCTGCTGCAGGTTATGTGAGGGAGTGCCCCATAGCAGGGCCCCTCCTCATGCCCTGATCTGCCACCTCCTCCCCATATTTCCTGTGTCTGCAGTGGGTGGACGGGGTCGATGTGCTAGAGCATGAGGAGGGCTATCTCCCCTTCAAGGTCAACATCAGCAGCCTGGTCCAGGTGGGGACCCTGCCCTCTCACCTCCATGTTATTATCACCATCAACAACACACTCACCCCCTTCCCCCTGCCACCAGGGACCATGCATTACATGACTGACACCTCCAAGTGGATACCATCCTGTCTCTACTGCCTGTACCCACCTTCCCACTCCACCCCGTGGTCTTCCTGCTAGGGATAGGATGGCCTTTGAAGATTGGAGGCCCTGGATCTGGCGAGGCTGTGGAGACATTCCAGCTGAGGTCAAAGGACCCAGGGCAAGGACCCAGCGAACCACAATTCTCCCACCCTAGATATCCAAAAGTTAGTTTGTCCAGAATACAGACTTTGACTTCTTCAACTCTGCAGGACTGCAGCGGTCTGTGTTTCTGTACACAACACCCACCACCTACATCCATGACACCATCACCACCAGCGTGGAGACAGTGGTGAAGGCTTCCGGTAGGATCATTTCTCAATGGGGCCCAGCGTGGCTCTGTTTGGAAAGCTCTCCCAGGAAAAGTTTCTCCCAGCATCTCTAAACCCTCACAGGTTCCCATCCACTGATGAAGCTAAAATCAAGGCTGTCAGGCACTGGCTCCCAAAATCACCTGTTTGGCCTCACTTGGAGAAGAGGGGTCTGGTCTGAGGTCACACAGCTCAGGGTGGCAATCCTGTCCCTTCCCCGCGGTGCTGCCCTCACTCCATCTCCCCTTGGTACACATCATGCTCAAGGAACAGGCAGGTTATGAGGTACTCCCGTGGCCCAAGCCCCGCCTGAGGCCCCTTCATGTGCCCCCAGGCAAATAGCAGTGTGGCCTGTCTGTGGTTTCACATTGAACTAATATATATCCTAATCCTGCTTAACTGTATGCCTTGATGACCATCTCTCTCCATCCTTTAATGATGCTGTGGCCCCCCGTGGCTCATGGGTGAAGGCGTGCTGGGCCCAAGATGCCCCCTCCCAGGGTGGGCTTCCAGGACTCAGCTACTGGACAGTGATAGCCATGAGAGATAGGGTGGGACCAGGGCAGGGGCTCTCCTGTGCTGATACCTGTTCACCTGACCCCCAGTGTTGCTGCCACCCTGCTATAGGTGACTAAGGTGTGGGCCCAGGGCACCTTCAGACTCAACCCCAATGATGAGGACAGCCAATGAGCGCCACCTGAAGGTAAGACCCCTGCAGCCCCATCACTTTCCTGAACTCCCTTCTCCACCTGGCCCTGGGCCACTTTGAGCATTAGCACCATCATTTTGTTTACTTTGCCATTGGCAGACAGCAGCGGAGACCTCAGGACATGGGCCAGAAGCAGTGGCTCATGCCTATAATCCTAGCACTTTGGGAGGCTGAGGTGGGAGGTTCACTTGAGGCCAAGAGTTCAAGACCAACTTGGGCAATACAGTGAGACTCTATAACTTCAAAAAATTCTTTTTTTCAAAAAGCCTCAGCAGAAATGGTGAGAGATTTGGGCAGGACCCAGAGCCCTGGAGTAGGGAGGGAGGTTGACAGGGCTGATGTTGGCACAGTCTGTATGCTGAAAGGGTTGAGCCCTGCGGGCATATAGACTGTGACCCTGCACCTCCCTTCACCTCCAGGAGCTCAGCTTATTGGCGAAACCACAGGGAAACTGCACACGGGACACAGCCGGAATGATCAGGTGCTTCTAGTTCCTCCAGCACCCTGCTCCGTGCTGTCCCAACCGTGGGGAGCCCAGGGGGCAGTTAAAGCTCAGCAGGGTCCTGGCTCCTCAGGGAAGCAGCATGTCGGCCTCGCCGAGCACCACCTCCTCCTCATGCAGGTGGTCACGGACCTCAGGCTGTGGATGCTGCAGACCTGCGCCATGCTCCTGGGTCTCCTCTGGGAGCTCATCAGGACCATGGTAGAATGTACAGAGGTGTGAGTTCCCCAGGGAGAGCAACGGGGCAGAGACAGGTGTGATGGCAGCCTAAACAGCAGATTTAGGTGGCAGGGTTGAACAGGGTGGGGGTGCCAGGCCCTAGGGGACAGGGGCATCCCAGAACTCTAGGATCAAGGCAGAGAAGCAAGGAGTGGGGCATTTCCTGCAAGCCCTAATACTCGAGTCCATGCCAGTCTAACCCAGCAGTCAGGGAAGTCACCCTTCACGGGGCCTGGTGTGGTGGCTCACAGCTGTAATCCCAGCACTTTGGAAGGCAGAAGTGGGAGGATCACCAGAGCTCAGGAGTTCAAGACCAGCCTGGCCAACATGGTGAAACCCTGTCGTTACTAAAAATACAAAAATTAGCTGGACATGGTGGTGTGCACCTGGAATCACAGCTACGTGGGAGGCTGAGGCTGGAGAATCACTTGAACCTGAAAGGCGGAGGTTGCAGTGAGCTGACATTGCATCACTGCCCTTCAGCCTAAGAGATGGATTGAGACTGTGTCTCAAAAAATAAAAAGTAAAATCCACCCTTTATGGATTTCAGGGAAGGAAGCTGAGGTGCTATCTTGGCTGTGCCTGGAGCAGCCAGAGTCTCTACCCACCCTGTCTGTGCCCTGGTCTCCCATGCCATATTCTGTGTCCCCACCCAGCTCATCTGGTGAAAGAGCCAAAGGCTTCTGGGACCTGGTGTCTTTGGGTTTGGATTTGTTCCTTGCAGACCCAGAGGGGGAGCTGCTGAGGAGTCACCATGTGTTGTTAGAGACCCCTCCTCTTCCTCAACTCCCTGTGAACCCTGTTTCTGAGACCTGGGGGGAAACAAGGGCACACAAATTGTCACCCTGGAGGTGGGGTGGGGCTGCTAGGAGGAACAGGGAGTGTCTGCTACTGAGTTCAGGGTTT